TACAATAAATTTCAGGACGGGATGTCACACTTACTCTTTTTAATACATAAGTGTATATTTAATATAAAAATGGTGATCGAAGCAGTGATGGGTAATTGGGATGTTCCTTGGAAGATTAAAACTCTCATTGAGAAGGCTTGATTTATTGATGCTTTGTTCTAGCAGGTTGAGTGGAGACATGTCTTCCATGAAGTCAACTTTGTCACAAATGCTTTGGCACACTTTGGGCTTTCTCTTACTTCACCCCACATTTGGGACCATTGTTTACCTTCGAGTGCTTGACCTACTTTCCATTTTGATTGTATTGGTAATGGTTGTACTAGAGGTTTTTCTCTTTAATAACAAAATGTATCCAAAACTAATAATAAAATATAAAAGTTGATTACATAGTATATATATAATTTGAGTTAGGGTAGCAAGTTGAAACGGTGTTTCATATTCCACCAATAATTTTTTTAATCCAAACTCGAAAGTTTTGAATCTAAATATTTTTGATAATTGGAATCGAAACTGGAATGAATTTAGAGATTCTGAAAATTCTGAATTTCCGATCCATATTTTTTTGAAGTGTTCCAAACTTATTCTGATAACAAAACTTTGGAAATATTCCGATTTCCGTTCCAATCTTTCAAAAAATATTCGGGTTTGAAGATTTTACAGGCGAAATTGGAAACACCATTCTAATTTGTAGCCCTAGGTCCACACGCAGTGTTGGCCCATTTCTATTACTTGGGCCAAACGTAGCAAATGCTTTAGAAATTGGTCATGGAATCTTTTATGGGGATTCTATTAAGGGTGGATTCGATTTATTCGGTTCAGTTTTTGCCAAAACCAAAACTGAACCTTTTCGGTTCGGTTTGATTTTCTTTGGTTTGTTTTTTTGTTTTCAGTTTGGTTTTGATCAGTATGATTTCGATTTTTATTTTATTTTATAAACTTGATTTTTTTTTTAATATAGAATTTTAAAAAATGGCTTGTATTGGTAAACTAATAATAAAGAAAATGGGGAAAGGGGGGAAAGTGGGAATGTAGTTATATATAAGATTACATAAACCAATCATATTATATCAACAACCTCAATTGCAAAAAATAATAATAATAATAAAATCACCGTATCCATTTAAAAAGCAAACAAATATAGAAGTTCTTCCAAATTCTAAAACCTTCCAAAACTTTCCTCTATAACCAATGTAATATCATCCCTAATTGAACCAAGCATGCTCCTTGAAAAATCCCTAGGTTTATTTTCAAACTTGACAACAAAGTTTCACAAAAGAAACATACATTCATAAAGCGTAAAGGAATTCGGTTCTGTTCGGTTTGGTTCGGTTTTCGAACTTCCAAAATCAAAACCAAACCAATAAGGTTTGGTTCGGTTTTGTTTTTTTTTTTTGGGTTCAATTTTATTTTGGTTTTTGATTTTTTGAACTCACCCCTAGTTTCTATATAGCACTTTATTGGAGATGGGCAAGAGTGTGATTACTTACCAAACGATAATGGAGTGGGAAGAAACGGATTTGCACACCTCTCAGAACATTCCAGCTTTATGAGGATTTGTGAAATTAGAAAATAAGTGGGGTCCACCTCATATCAATAACCGAATTACTAAATTATTTAGAATTGGATTAGGAGATGGGTATTTGGACTCTAAAGAGAAGGCTCCGTCAGAATCAAACTTCTTTTCCCAAAATACCTACTGTATATTTTACGATAACTCTAAAGCACCATTCCACATTCAGTACTCCCTCCCTTCAAATCAATCCCCCCTCCGCCGACTGCCTTGCGACTTCACCAGCAAGTACCACTTTACAGCTTATGCCTTGACCACCGCCACGACACCATTGTTACACCTTCAAGACAACACCAACAAGACACCAAAATCACTTCGACTCATCCACCGATATTACCCTACTTAATCACTTAATGCTAGCTTAATCACTCAATGCTAGTGTGTGTTTTTATTACGAAAAACATCGGTGCTATTAGAAGTAAACCTCCCACATATAAGATATATACTATTTTGTTATATTTTTATATGAGACTCTATTCTCCATGATCATTCTAATGGAATTTTCTATGTGTACCCGATGCTCTGGATCTTTTAATTGTTATATCTCTCATAAAATTACAAAATATTTTAATCCTAAATTACCCGATGCTTTGGAATGCCATAGAATTTTTTGCATTCTAATATTTTAATTTTAAAATACACCAGTTGGCCATAGAATTTTGACCGGAGGTGTCCCTAAATTACACCTTAGCTTGTAAACATGCCTAAATTTTTGTTGACAATTCCGGCCAACCGGTGTACTTAAGGTACCGTTTGGTACGACAGAACGGAGTGGGATAAGGCGTTCCGTCTCATGTTTGGTGTGCCTAAAATGGATGGAACGCGTTGTTTCACGGAACAAATTTTGGCTGAATTTTGGTTCCGCCTCATCCCCATGGAACAACTCGTTCTACATCCTTGAAACATAAATTTATAACATTTTAAGACAAAAACACCCCTTATCTTTATCAATATTTACACCATCCATAAAAACAAACCCTAAAATTCTATCTTCTTCGTTCCATCTTCTCTGCCTGCCGCTGCCTTTTCCCGTAGCCTTCCTCCTCATCGTCTCCCGTAGCAGCTACATATCCAGGTTCGATCTTGATCTTCTCCCGTAGCCGCTGCATATCCAGGTTCGATCTCGATCTTCTCCCGTAGCCGTTGCATCTCCAGGTTCGTTTTCTTGATTTTTCCATAGAAAATTTCAATTTTCTGGGAAAATAGGATGACTATGAGAAAATAAGTTAGTTTTCTTGGTTTCTCTGGTTAAACTTGTGCTTGGGAAAATGAACAAAGTCTGATTTTTAAGGTTTATTACGATTCTGGTTTGTAAAGAATTGGATCTGGTTCCGAGCTGTGCGATTTAGTGGGTTCGGTTGTGAGCTTGGCTTTGTATGATGGAAAAAGCTGGTTCTTTAATCTGGGTCTTCCTCCTTTTATTCTTTCTAAGTTGAATTTTAGTACTTCAAAATTTTTGATAATTTTTTGAATTTGAGTTTCTGGGTTGCTCTTAAATTGGAGCTTTTGTGTTGGATATTTTGGTTTTTTTTTCCCTTTATTTTCTGATGCTAGCATTGTTCCATTCATGCAATTTTGGCTTCTAAAACTGGGTATTCTGCAAAATTTCATCAATTTATCAATTGGGTTGTTCTTGTTTTGTGATTTCAAGGATTGGGTTGTTCTTGTTTTGTGATTTCGAGAATTGGGTATTTAGTGATTGCACATTGTCATGGTTTTTTCACTATTTCAGAAGCAATTGATTGAGTTGGAAGTGATGCTGGTGGAGCTGCAAATCGTCGAGTCTTCAGAGCGAGCAAGTCTGCAGATCCATTTTGTTTTGATTCTTATATAGTGTGATAATGGATTTGAAGCAAAGGTGAGAGAATGCGATAAGCGAAGTCTTTCCTTTTTTGCTTAAATGCTTTAGATTTGGTGGAAAGAATTTGCTTCCTAAATTTGAAAGGCTTTGCTGTATTAGTTGGAGTTATAGTTGTGCAGCAACAATCTCTAAGGATTTCGTTGTTGGCTAACTATTTAAGGCTTTCATCTTCTGTTTCGTGCAACTTTGAAGAGGATTTGAGGTGGGTTTTTGATGACTCTGTAAAATTGTAGTTGTGTGTTGTAGATGAACACATTGTGATGTGCTAGTTGGGGAGTTGGAGAATCGAACCGTAGATGGAGCGCAAGTGGTTGTGGAAGAAGTCTTCTGAGAAGAGCTCTGGAGAAACTTGTATAAATAACAAACACCTCTCTGTAATTCATTCATTGTTCAAGGAATACAATCTTTAGTCATTCACCTTCTCTCTCTAAATTCTCTGCCATTGTTTTTCGTTTTGCTTCTTCTGCCATGTCTTCAGTAAAGAAATGGCAAACATATATCATGGTATAACATATCTTAAGCCATGTGCTACTGTGAAAAATATCATAGATAAGCATGTATGTGTTCAAATATGAACAAGTTCAAAAAAAAAATAAAATAAAAATTGTCCCGTCCTATCCCACGCATAAACATTGTACCAAACAACAGACGGAACATGGGTAAGTTAGTTATTCAATCTTTTGGTTCCGTTTCGTCCAGCACGTGCCAAACGCAAAATGGAACAACCGTCTCGTTCCGTCTTGCGCGTACCAAACATAACACGAAACCTTTGTTCTGTCCCGTCCCATTCTGTTCTGTTCCATTCCGTCCCGTCTGCGTATCAAACGGTGATTGGATTTTAGACCCATTGGGAGGCTTTTAGTTTTGACCCCTATACTTGTGAAGACCCATGTTGAATTTGCTCAGATATCAAGATCTACAGCTGTATTAGGGCCGAGGTTAATTGGGTTGGTGGATCTGGTGGCTGGGACCATATGCATGTGGACTTAATTATTGTTTGGAAAAAGATGAGATGATTGATATTTTGTTAGACATAGCTGGAGCGAAATAGCAAATTAAAGATGAGGATTAAATCCTCAAAAGGATTAGGATATAATTCAGAACGAAAGTCTCACCATCACATGTGGGATTCATCTATATTTTGTAGTGATTAGTCGGTTGGCATGGAGTTGGTTTCAACCTCCATATCTGGTACTGGTAAATGCAGAGAGACAACAAATCTTACAATTCTTGTGTCCTTTTAATGCGTCATAGTCTTACAGATTAGTTCGATTATTGTGTCCTTTTAATGCGTCACAGAGAATAACGTAGACTAACACTTAATAGAAAGCTTTTGGTGCGTTGGAGAGCATATTGCACCGTGCCCTTTTTGCAACTGAATCCCACTGGTCCCAAAACCCAATCTGTGCACCAATGATGATGACAATCGTAGAACTGAAGCTATCAAGTTTAAATGGTAAAATCTTATAGCAATAGATAGCTAGAATGTCTTTTAAGCCAAGCTTTTCCTAATACTTTGTTTAAATCATCAATTAATGTAATATTTCCAAACTCCTATATAATATGATTGGAGAATGCCAACTCAATTCATTCCTCAAATCACAAAAATCCACTTGCATGCTTCTCATTGCTCTCAAAAATGGAACAAAAAACGAGCCTAGTTTCATCTCTCTTCCTCTTCTTCCTTCTCTATGGAACCTTGGCTTCCCCGACCCTAAAACCCAGTTTTAAGCCTCGTCCTCCTCCTCACCACCCTTGCAGACACCTAGTTTTCTACTTCCACGACATTATCTACAACGGAAAAAATTCTAAAAACGCCACGGCAACCATTGTAGGTTCACCGGCTTGGGGCAACAAGACCATTTTGGCAGGACAAAACCATTTTGGTGACCTAGTTGTGTTTGATGACCCAATAACTCTGGACAACAATTTGCACTCAACCCCAGTTGGTCGTGCCCAAGGCTTCTACATTTACGACAAGAAGGAAATCTTCACTGCATGGCTTGGCTTTTCCTTTGTGTTCAACTCCACCCAACACAAAGGTAGCATCAACTTTGCTGGGGCTGACCCATTGATGAACAAGACTAGGGACATATCGGTCATTGGCGGGACGGGTGATTTCTTCATGGCTAGAGGGATTGCTACTTTGATGACTGATGCATTTGAGGGTGAAGTTTACTTTCGTCTCCGAGTTGACATTAAGTTGTATGAGTGTTGGTAAATTTTTTTGTAGCTATTTTGCATGCATGGCATGGCATACTTTCATTTTCGTTCGTTTGGTCTTGATCCAAGTTGTGTTTGTCAAAACAGTGATGTTTCCATCCAAGGAAGAAATATAATTCATTTGGTTTCGTGATTAAGTACAATTTTTATCTATAAATTTATGTTTTTGGTTCGAATTCGTATTCAATATGAACGAATTCAACAATTTATTATAAATTTAAATCTATTCATCTATTTCAGTTAAGGTGTTTCCAATGAATACTATTACACTACAAAAAATTTCTATGTTAAGGCAAATTAACATTTTCGATACATGGCTAGGTACGTACGAGCTAATAGAAATAATTTAGTTTCGTAATTAAGTACAATTTTTATCTATAAATTTATGTTTTTGGTTCAAATTCATATTTAATATGAACAAATTCAACAAGTTATTATAAATTGAAATCTATTATTCTATTTTGGTTAAGGTGTTTCCAATGAACTATTACACTACAGAATTTTCTGTTTTGATTAAGGCAAATTAATATATTCGATACATGGCTATAGGTATGAGCTCTTAGTGTATCGAAATGTCTAAAAGATAACTTTCATGCAACATGAAAGGAACCAAGAGAGAGAGAAAAAAATGACAAGGCTATAAGGAGAGAGTGAGAACAAAGACAAGGTAAGTCACCATTTCAAAGGCTTATCCCATATGGCCCATATACGAGTGATGGGTGATTGTCTATGATTTATGCTGGTTAGTGTGTTTGTTATTGTGAATTGTCTGTTGCTTGTATTGTAATACTTTGGTTATTCTTGCAATAAAGTGCATACGGAGACACCCAACCAATGAGTTGGTAGAAAAGCAGGAGATTGCAGACAGGACTGGACTCTGAAACCTTCACTCTTGACAAAGCTGGGACTACATAACTAAATGAAAGTAATATTTGTTTATTCTGGAGGTGCCTTGTTAGCAAGACTTAATACCATCATGATGTTTCATTTTGACTAAAGAGGTTCGTCAAGTGGATAACGTAAGTCAAAATTATGAGTGCATTAGGAGGCACCAAAACCTACCTGTTTCACACCCTCCATAAGAAGTTTGAATTAATTAATCACCTTCTACAACTACTATGGATGACTCAGTGGTTGGGAATGAATTCCAGACTTGTATTTCACACAGCACGTCCTGAGTTTGATTCCTGATGCTGGTGAATCATACAATGGTGGCCAGGGGAGACTGAAATGTCTCTGTAAGTCTTCCTGACCCCAGAAGAGTGGACTGCCATGGCGAAGCCACCAGCTAGTCCTCTTTCTGAAATGAAAAAAAAGAGGGTAATTTACATAAAACTACCTTAACTATTGGGCCAGTCACTGTTTAATACCTCATCTTTAAACATTTCAATATCATACCTCATCTTACAAATTTGTTACAATTTCATACCTTCCATTAGTTTGTCTGTCAATTCTTCTATTAAATAGTGACGTGACTTGAGATGGAGCCCACGCTCTATTATAAAATTAATTAAATATTAAAAACTAAAAAAATAAAATCATTCAATAATTTTTTTTTGTATGGGGGACCCACCCCTCACCCTTCTTCCCTACTCTCGTCTTCCCCCAACCCAAAACTAGAACCACCCCAAACCTAGATCCCACCAGCGCCAACATCTCCTCCTCCCCCCTCCCCTACCACTCATCTCACTCCCCCACTCTTCTCTTCTCTCCCCAGAAACAAAAAAATTTTGAAACAAAAAAACCCATAATTTTTTTTTTTGTAGGTGATTGATTTCGCCAATTCTCTCCCCACTCTTCTCTTCTCTTCTAGACGATTCCACTGTCACTCCCCCTTGCACGTCCCTGCAACACGTCAACATCGCTCCCCGTCTCTTCTCCCGAACCCCAAACCAAAATCCAGAAAAATCCGATCAAACCTGCTCTCCTTTGACCCCAAAACCCAAGCACAGTTACCTCCCATCCCCTGAGCCAAAACCCACAAACCCTTCAACAAAGCCCGAAGCTTTCTCCGAAATAGGCGAATTCAAAATTTAGGGTTAGGGTTTGGGTGGAATTGGGGTATTTTGTTTGAAATTGGTTATAGGGATTAATTTGCTGAGGGTGTTGCGTGTGTAGGAGGAGGGAGAGGAGGAGGAGCGCCATGGGAGGGAGGTGCAGATGGAGGAAGAGAAGGCGTATAAGGGGTGGGTCCCCCATGCAAATTTTTTTTTAAATGATTTTATTTTGGAAAAATTAGTATCCGGTCCCTAGTTCTTACTGTTCATTGACTAAGACCTTATTAGTTCTCAAATTTTGATTCAAGTCCCTATCATTAATGTGATAATGAATTTACATGTTTATTATATAATTTTTAATATAAAAATTAGTAATTAATTTAGGGTTTAATACTCACACCTCTATTAAACTTCTAATTAATTTTCAATTCAAACATTTCTAAAATAATAAAAAATTAAATTAAATTAAGTTTGTACCTATTAGTTTTTTTTTTTATATATATAAAAAGATTCTCAATTTTTTTTAATATTAAATGTACCCATTCATATAATTTTTCAATTTTTTAATCTTAAATGTACCCATTCTCAAATATATCAATTTGTTATATGTAAAATGTACCCTTTTTTTAATATAAAATCCATTCAAATTTTTTAATCCATGTTTAAACTTATATGGGTACATTCTTTTTCGTTGATTTGAGAATGTATCCATGTTTTGGTACAATAACTTTTTTTGTTAATTTTGGTTAATGTACCCATACATATATGTATACACACACACACACAATATAATAGAGAGTATAATATATATTTTATTATTTTAATCCCATAAATTATGGGTTTTATTTAAAATCTTATTAATATAAACAATTACAAATTTCAATTTTTAATTTTTAATTTAAAAATATAGTAACTTACATTATTACATTAATGTTAGGGACCTCAATCAAAAACTAAAAACTAACAAGGTTTCAATCAAAGAATATTGATAGCTAGGGACCGCATCCAAAGTGTCCCTTTTATTTTTTTAGTTTTTAATATTTAATTAATTTTTTAATAGAGAGTGGGTCCCGTCTCAAGCCACATCACTATTTAGCGGAATGTATGAAATTGTAATAAATTTGTAAGATAAGGTATGACATTGAAATGTTTTAAAGATGAGGTATAAAACTGTGACTAGCCCAATATTTGAGGTATTTTTATGTAATTTATCAAAAAAAAAAAAAAAACAATTACGGGATCGTGCACAGATTTATATTTTAAGCCATGTTGCACTTCCCTAGATGATCACGTTAGTAGAACTTTTTAACGAATAAATGGTCCCAAAATAGGCCTGGTGGCCCCAAATGATTATGTTAGTCTTAGAAATGAAGTGACAAAAAGGAAAAAATACAGCCAGTTTCAAACCCACTGAAAAATAATTTTCCCATAAGAACAACCCTTTTCCTTGTCTTTCACCACCTTCTATTTTGAGGTTCTATCCTTCACTTGAAGACCTATCTTGGACGGTATTAGCATTGAGGAGATCTTCCAGGAGGGCACAGAAAATGATGTAGAACGGCTTGCAGAGACATTCATGGAACAGCTGAACAAACTCATGCATGCTTCTAATAAAACCGCTTACGAGTACAACCAACAGGCGTTTACTCTCGTCAACATTGTAATTACTTCAACGTGTACCATCTTCAATGAAAATAAGTACGGCTTGCAGAGAAATTTAACCCAGAAGGATTGAGGCAGAAAACAATGTTTATGGGTTAAAACCCAAATTTTATGGGTTCGAGATGCCTAAGGTTTTCGCATGTTGCTCATCTTAATAATATCGTTTCATTTTTTCTTCCTGAAAATTGCAGATCTCATGCAGAAAAAGGATGGAAGAATGCATCGACACGAAACGGGATCCAGAATCCTGCGGCATAAGATTGATGAAAGGAGCATTTATTCTTTTACAAGATTGATGAAAAGAGTATCTCACAATGTCTACGTCCGTCTCAAGAAAAAATTGGCAATCTTTGATCCCCTGAGGGCATATGAAATGATACTCCTCTTAAGGGGTGGAATGTACTGCGCTCCGTTGAATGCTGCAGGCCGCAGTACATTTAAAGGTCCGAAATCAACAGAGTAAGCCTTCTGGAAACCGTCCAGGATTGCCATCATTGTGACATTTGCCGATTTCCTCTCTGCTTCATATTTCTTCAACAACAATACCTGCATAAGATTAGACATACGTCGTCAAATGATTCGATCCAACCAACTAATTTTGATAAAAGCTAAAAGAAAATTCACCTACATCAGTAATGTCTGTTCCCACTGCAATTCCCTCACAAATGATTCTTGATAGAGCAAATGCGTCTCCAAACCCCAAATTAACCCCTTGCCCGCCAAAGGGTGAACGGTATGTGCTGCATCGCCAATTAGAACCACATGCTTTGACACGTAGTCGTTGGCATGCATCAAAGACAAAGGAAACACCGTTCTCTCAGATGCCAACTTCAACACTTTTGGCGGAACTTTGAAGCAGTCATTGGCTGATAAATTCGTGTCTGTTTTAAACCAAGAAAATATGCTTCCACCTCCCGAGGTGCTTGACTTAGGATGAGGGCCAAATCCATAATCCAGAGCATAATTGACATCTTTCAAAAATTCATCCTCAGCCTTTAACTTGCGGTCAGTTGCTTCGTTCGGGTTCATGGTCCAAACAATGTTACTGAAATTATCACCTATTGGCAAAAGTGCAATTGGCCCAGCAGGTAGAAAGCGTTGCCATGCAAATCGGTTTTCTACACTATGTTCAACAGTACAAATGATTGCGTTCTGCGAGTAATTCCATCCGGTTGTCTTGAATCCTGCCAACTCTCTAACACGTGACTTGGACCCATCAGCTCCCACCTGCAGTAAGACAATGTGACTTGATGCCAATCCAGAATTTACGAATGACATTATTTTGCATTACGACTAGACATTCTGTCATCTTATTATCATTTAAAGGGAAATAGAATTCTTCAAATGCAACTGAAAATTACCACCAACTTTGCATACAGACTGTTGCCGTCAATTAGATCAAGCTTCGCTAAGTTCCCCTGCTCATTCAATCCAGATGATGTGCTTTCCATCCCCATGGATAAGTTTCTTGGCTGTAA